GTAACTGATTGCGCCGCCTTTAAGCAAACGTTAAGCAAGAAGAACGTTCCGCGTGAGGTAGCCCAATGGGTTCTGTACCTGCAGGACTATGATTTCGAAGTGGAACACAGAGCAGGAGAACGTATGAAGCATGTGGATTGCCTGAGCCGATACCCAATTGATGTGATGATGGTAACGTCGGAGGTCACAGCAAGAATTAAGAAAGCCCAACAGGAGGACACGATGATCAAAGCAGTTTCCGAAATTCTCAAAAGTAAGCCATATGACAACTTTAAATTGAAGGCTGGTCTTGTGTACAAGGTTGTGAAAGGAACGGATTTGCTGGCGATACCGAAATCACTAGAGAGGGAAATAATAACCGAGGCTCACAACGCAGGACACTTCGCCGCCCAAAAAACAATGCATGCCGTACAGCAGAGCTATTGGATCCCACATATGGAAGGAAAAGTACTGCTGATCATAGGGAACTGTATGAAATGCATAATTTACAACAAAAAGCTGGGCAAAAAAGAAGGGTTTTTGCATCAAATCGACAAGGGATCAGAGCCGCTTCATACTCTACATGTGGATCACCTGGGGCCGATGGACGCTACTTCAAAGCAGTACAAGTACATCTTCGCGATGGTGGATAGCTTCAGCAAGTTCGTATGGATGTATCCCACGAGAACAAGAGGCGCAGACGAAGTTCTCAAGAAGTTAAAGGAATGGTCTGATATCTTTGGAAATCCGGCTCGGATTGTAAGCGATCGTGGAGCAGAATTTACGTCTTCTAGTTTTGAGGAGTTTGTGAAGGAAGAGAACATCGAACACGTATGGGGCACCACAGGGGTGCCAAGAGGCAATGGACAAATTGAACGCGTAAACCGATGCATTCTGAGCATTATTTCAAAATTGTCGTCGGAGGAACCTGGAAAATGGTATAAGTTCGTATCCCGAGTTCAGAGGGCTATTAATAGCACTGTTCATGGATCTACAAAGCGTTGTCCATTTGAGCTGATGATCGGTGTAAAAATGCGTTGTGGACCAGATAGCGATATACTTCAGCTAATAGAAAAGGAGATGGTTGATCATTTTGACGACGAAAGACAGAAGATGCGACAAGCAAAAGAAAACATTCAGCAGGCCCAGAACAGATACAAGGAACAATTCGATAAAAAGCGGAAATGCGAGTACGGATACAAAGTCGGAGATCTCGTGGCCATACGCAGAACACAATTCACAGCTGGAAGAAAGATAGCTAGCGAATTCTTAGGACCATACGAAATAACCAACGTGAAACGAGGCGGACGCTATAATGTTCGAAAAGCAGCAGACGTCGAAGGACCAAATAATACGACCACGAGCAACAATAATATGAAACTATGGAGATTTTCGGTAGAAAACGAGGACGCATGGTCATCAGGGACTGATGACTAATCAGGATGACCGAATGTAAGAGGGAGTGAGCAAGTCGGCCCACTGAAGGAGCATTGGTTAACAGCAGTGACAGCAGAGCAGCTGCGGTAACAGTAGATGAACAGCAGTAACAGCAGTAACAGCAGCAAAAGAGAACGAGAAACAACAGCAGAGAGGAAGATCAGCAGAAGGAGTAGGAAGGAGACAACCGAAGCAGACGGACGTAGCGTTGAACAGCAGCGGCAGAAATCAGCCGATATCAGACAGTTACCGAAGCCCAACTATTCTTACTATTACCTGTGCACCGCGATATAATATCAATAAAACTATACCTAAATAACAACTTACATGACATGACGATTGTGAGGTCCTATTTCATGCTGAGGTATGCATCAGTCTGTTCAGGGTCCGCTACAAGAAAATTTTTAGTTTGTAGGTGACTTCAGGTGTCTGGCTGGCTTGAAAAAGGCAGTAGACAAGCGAGAAATGATGATGCGAGAGTTTTTGTTTGCTGGTTTCTTGGTTTTATTCAGTATTCTTTTTCATTCACTTTAATTCTTTTACGTTGCTACTCTGACTCGTAGTTGAATGGTGCGCTGGTGGACTGCGTAGTGCAGTGTCTTGGGTGTGTGACGGAGGGACTGCGTAGTGCAGTGTCTTGGGTGTGTGACTGAGGGACTGCCTAGTGCAGTGTCTTATGTTCGGGCTGATGGACTGCCTGTGTCTTGTATTCGGGCTGATGGACTGCCTGTGTCTTGTATTCGGGCTGATGGACTGCCTGTGTCTTGTATTCGGGCTGATGGACTGCCTAGTGCAGTGTCTTGTGTTCGGGCTGATGGACTGCCTGGCTCTTTTATGCAGCTGGTGATCGCATTGGTCTGTCGAATGTGCTGGACGGTTCAATCCTCCGGTCGTAATCGTTTATGTGGGCGATGATCGGGGTGGCGTTGGACGTGGGTAGAGAAGTTTTGTAGCTCCGGTGGAATACTTGGGTGGTATTGTCTCCAGACTGGTGCATGAACTGGCTGGTCTCGACGATGTCTCTTTTGTGGGACCAATGGCTTGTTTGAGGGGCTCTGTGGATATCAGTTCGATTATGGGCCCCGTCCAGCGTGGGGTTAGCGTGGCTGTTTCCCGTGTTGCTGGGCTGTCGGATGGTGGTTGCCGTTGTCCTTTTTCGATGCTGGTGGTCGGTTTTGAGGGTGTCCGTGCGTTCAATTCTTCCGTTGTGGATTCTGTGCGTGCTTGCTCTGTTGCTTGTCTTGGACCTGGGCTTCCTGTGTCGAGCGCCGGGTTCAAGTGTGTTTGTCTCGTGTGTGAGATCCTCGTGGTTTGTTTGGGATGCGTGTTCCCTGTTGTTGGCCTAGGACGCGGTTGCTCCGTAGTGACCGTGGGACTCGTTTTCCCGATTGCTTGGTTGCGGTTTGGTGGTGTTGACCTTGGATTCGTGTTCTCCGAAGTGTGCCGTGGCTTCGTATTCGTTGCGATTGGCTTCGGTGTCCAGTGCTGCGTTGCGTTATTGGGTGCCATGTGCGTTGTGGTAGGTCGTGGACGTAGGTTCGTTGCGATTTGTTGGGGTTTCTGGTATCGGGGTTCGGCGTCTTGTACGTGGTTGGTAGTAAGCACGGGTTCAGTGGGCATGGGGCCACGGTCTCGAAGCTGTAGCATCGTGGAGCCGCATTGGATCGTCGTTTCGGTGGCACCTAGGAAGTCCATGCCGACAATAACTTGTCCCAACATGTTTGGCAGGACCAGGAGCGGGATTTGAACCTCTCGTTGATCCAGCTTGATGTGCGCCAGTAGAACTTGTGAGATCTCTGTGACCGAGCCATCGGCCAGGCGTATGCGGACGCATGCATCTTGCAGGTTGGTGTTGTTGTCTAGTTGTCGGGCGAGGTTTGCGCTGATTAAGCTTCTGGATGCCCCGGTGTCGATTGTGGCTTCCGTTGCTTACGTGTAGAGAGTTATTTAGTCGCGGGTTGGAGGAGGCGTCGTTCCCGGCTGATCCCGTGTCAGTTGGGGACGCATGTCGTTTCCCGATGTGTTTTGGCGGCAGCAATTTACGGTCCGTGTGCCGCGTTTGCCACATTCCCAGCAGAATAGGATATAGGGATTATGGCAGTCGTATGCCGCATGCCCGGCTTCACCACACCGGCGACAGGCTGCGCGTGGGTTGGTGATGGGGGTCGTGATCATGTGATGGGCTATTTTATTCAGTATTATTTTTCATTCACTTTAATTCTTTTACGTTGCTACTCTGACTCGTAGTTGAATGGTGCGCTGGTGGACTGCGTAGTGCAGTGTCTTGGGTGTGTGACGGAGGGACTGCGTAGTGCAGTGTCTTGGGTGTGTGACTGAGGGACTGCCTAGTGCAGTGTCTTATGTTCGGGCTGATGGACTGCCTGTGTCTTGTATTCGGGCTGATGGACTGCCTGTGTCTTGTATTCGGGCTGATGGACTGCCTGTGTCTTGTATTCGGGCTGATGGAGTGCCTGTGTCTTGTATTCGAGCTGATGGACTGCCTAGTGCAGTGTCTTGTGTTCGGGCTGATGGACTGCCTGCTCTTTCGGCCGATCTTGGCCCTTTTATGCAGCTGGTGATCGCACCTGAGACCTGGAAATAATTGCTTATTGCTAACTTTTGATTATTCTTGTCAATTAACAAACCCAAGTTACTGGCTCTGTCATGAAACTCAAAGCTTCCCTGGTTGCTATGACTTCCGATTGGAAGTGGTTCCTCGGCCGTAAAGAGGTGGCAAAAGTCAATGAATTTTTTTAACGCTTTCGATAAAGAAAGATAAAGAAAATAAAGTGAAAGAAAATGCTTCAGAACTTTTAAACATCTAAATTACAAGAAAATTGGGTGTTTTTGGGTTACTAGATATGAGCACTTTAAGTTAAAAATTATTTCCGTGTGCAAAAATGAATTTAACCTTTAATTGACATACTGAATCTTTCAGCTAGTATAAAAAGTAAACTGTTTAAGGTACGATAAACGGCGAATGGGCTGTCACAGTTCTAGTTCCCATATAAATTCCAATTTTTGTTTCCGTTTTTCGTGCGAGGCAGCGTCAATGTTATCAATGTAGAAGCCGAACAACTCTAAAGAGCAAAACGGGCTTTTAAGCTTAGTTAAAGGAATATTCGAAGAGCATGTACAATGAAAATCTCGCGAAACTTAAGGGATATACTCTTTTAATTTCAAGTTATAATGAAAAACGGCCAAAAATTAGGTCCATTAGACATGTGATATCTCAAAATAAATCGGAAAATATTTTTTGTACAGAAATTTAAAGTTTATGAAAAAAAAAATGTTCAAATGAAGATGACTGTTGAGCTTTTAAGCGTTTTTAATAGCCATTGAGGTTTAATTTTAATAAAAAGGGCCGAGAAGATTTAATACAAATAATAGTTTATTGGCATGTAGTAGCGGCAGTACGCGTATGTGTATTTATTGGTACAAGTATAGAGACCGAAGGTTAAGAAGATCAGTACCAGACTAATGGCAGGGCAAAATGGGCCGACTGCCCGTACTTTCAACAGCATCTTTAAGGGGAAGCAGACAAAGCTTGTTAACGGGTCGCTTGGTGATTCCAGATGCAGTCTTCAGAACAGCGACTCGGGCGACGCCCCGGGTAGTACTTCGACCACCCTAGCTAGTGGCCACTTCATGGGAGGCAGATTCTCATCCTTAACAAGGACCACATCTGCGACTGCCAAACTAGGCTTCGGCGTGCGCCAGTTTGAGCGCTGTTGCAGTGAAGTAATGTATTCTTCCTTCCATCGGGAGCAGAAAATCTGCTGCAAATATGAAATGCGCTGCCATCCGTTCAGGCGATCGAAGTTTAGCTGAGTTACGTCAGGCTCAGAGAACGAAGCAGGAGGTCCGCCATTCAAGAAATGAGCTGGAGTTGAAACGTCCAGATCATCAGGATTCTCTGAAATGGATGCTAAGAGTCTTGAATTAATAACTGCCGCGTTGTGGCATAACAGCGTACGCAGTTCCTCAAATCCAAGCACCGAGGTGCCTATAGCACGAAGTGCTACTTGGCCGTCTTCACTGCATCTTCCCACAGGCCTCAACCAAACAAAATTCCAGGACTGCCGTCTGATGGTCGTCGCTGAGAAATAGGCGCGTTAGATCCAAAAGCTCATTCCTGGCGCCGACAAAATTGGTTCCGTTATCTGACCAAATTTGTCGCGGCCTTCGTCTAGAGCATATGAACCGCTTTAGGCCGTGCAGAAAAGAGACTGTAGACCAATGCTGGATCAGCTCCAAATGAATCGCCTTAGTCGCGAAGCAAATAAAGACGCAGACGTAACATTTGATTATAGCCTTGTTGCGTGCCTCTGGCTTGTAGAAAAGAGGGCCACAAAAGTCGACGCCTGTGATCTCAAAGGCATGAGAACCGTCGAGCTGCTCCTTCGGAAGATCCGCCATGATGTGCTCCAATATTATAGGCTTCGTTCGAAAGCAACAAGAGCGTAAGAACTTTTTTACTGCCTTGTTTACCGACTTCCTCCCGAAAATAGGCCAATATTGGGATCGGATTAATCCAAGCAGAGCTCGAGGTCCAGCGTGCAAACTCCGTTCGTGAAAGTGAGAAATGATTGAAAAAATAAGCGGATGACTGCTGGGCACGATGATGCCATCAAAACCCAATGAAGAGTTCTTCAGCCGGCCATCAACTCTGAGAAGTTCCAAATGATCATCGAAAGGAACAATACGAAGAACTAGATGAGGAGACCACCCCCTTAGCACGCAGTCTTCATATCTTCCCATAATTCCGAACGCTGGGCTAGCCGCACCAATAACTGAGTTCCATGTTTAATGTCAGAGATAGTGCCGAGTCCGGTTGACAAATTTGTAAAACGCGTTGCAAGGAAGCAAAGGAGTTCGCATACTTAGAATCAGATACAATGTCTACGTAGTTGATTTTACCAGGAGAACCTTCCGACGAAGCTTCAGGGTTGGCTTAACAGGTAGCACCGTGGGTGGCCAGTCACAAATGAAGGGAGGTCCATGAGCCCAAAGAGGTGATTCGCTGAACTCTACTGGAAGAGTCGGGAGTCGAGCCGGATTCAAACCTGTGGGAACATAGTGCCATTCCATTGGGGCAGTCATTTCCTGTATCTTTGCCACTCTATTTGCGACAAATACGTGGAATCTGGACGGCTCGTCCCAAATCCATGAGAGCGCAACAGCAGAATCACAGAATTCATAGCGTCGAATGTGGCCAAAACTTCTACATATTTCCAGCCAAGAGGTGTTCAGTGCTGATGGCAAGCTTTCATTCCAGGACAACTTCTCCTTGCAGAACTGCTGGAGAAAGATTTTGGCCTTGGTAATGACAGGTCCAGCTAGTCCAAAGGGGTCGTAGAACCGCGCTATTGTTGATAAGACGGAACGCCTGCAGGAATGCAAAGACGAATGTAGGGCAGAAAAGGAGAATAAAAGTTTATCAGACACCGGATCCCAGGCAAGTACTAATCGCTGCCATCGTCGAACTTAAAATAAGTTTCCTTGTCCTCCTCCAGAACCCCATCGAGGTTCGACAAAATTCCTGTAGTTTGCTCACGAATGAGGCCAGCAGGGACGTTCGAACACCATTTCCTCAGTCGGAACTGACCTCTAGACAAAATTCCTGTAGTTTGCTCACGAATGCGGATAGCCTCCTGAGAGCTGTCTCCAGATATCAGGTCATCAACGTAGAAGTCACGCCGAAGAGTCTCAACCTCAACAGGAAGCGCTATCTGTTCATCCATTGCCAGCTGATACACCGCCCGTACAAATAAATACGAGGCAGGCTTCGTCCCATAAGTAACGGTGTCCAGCTTGAACGCACGCAACTCCTCTTGCATGGAATTCCTCTACAGAATACACTGCAAGTTACTATCCTCGGGTGAGACCCTATACATCGGTACATCTTGCAAATATCTCCCGTAATCGCAACTGCATATGACCGAAATGAAAGCAGAATACAGAGATTGTACATCAGGACAGCGAGCTAACTTCCATTCAAGGTATAAGAATCTACGAAGAGCTTGATGGTACGATTCTCCCAAGAGATCCAGATTTTATTTTACGGGCAGCCTAACACAATAATCGCCGGTTTGCAATCGTGTAGTTGAGAGCCGGAGTCAGGAAACGCTCGACAGGGAACAAAAACTCCGGAACGATATTCTACCAAGACTGTTGCCGTGGCTAACACAACAACATCATTACTGAGACCCTGGGCAATAAGAGCAGAATAGGTAGATGCTGGGATAGATGGTTCAGTGGTATGAGTAGCCACCGTAGACGCAGTCGGGCTGCAATTTACACACAGGGAAAACCTCTTGGCTTGGGACAATGGTTGATTTCGTAAGCGCTGTCATTTCACAGCACGCAGCTTGATATGTTTTAGTTAATGGCAACAAGTGTGGATTTGGAATGGTTATGTTTTCTACTCCTGCCCACCAGAATGCTCGGCGCATAGGTTGCCATAGCGAAATCCACTGTTTCCAACGTCCTGCATCGCTACTCCAAAAACGAGGCCATAGACTCCCATGACGGAATCAGGTTGACGAAGGCTGAGTCTTCTAAAGATTCCTTCCACTTGATGCATTCTGCGATCAGTGCCCAGCGCCCGAATATGAGCGTTGAACTTGTCATAAATCTCCCGCAGCGACACTGACCCATCCACAGCCTGTAGCCCCAAGATCTCAGTAATGTGCGCCTGAAAAACTAAACGACGATTACACTAGTCAACACAAGAATTAGGCTTTTGCCCAAAATAACTTTTTCTTATAGATATCGGGGTTTAAAATTTTTTAACGAATTATGGTTTTTTTTATGGTGTAGTTTTTATACCCGTACTCAAAAAAGAGTTAAGGGGTATATTAGATTTGTGGTAAAAGTGGATGTGTGTAACGCAGAGAAGGAAACGTTTCCGACCCCATAAAGTATATATATTCTTGATCAGCATCAATAGCCGAGTCGACATAGCTATGTCTGTCCGCCTGTCTGTCTGTCTGTCTGTCTCGATGAGCGCCTAGATCTCAGAGACTATAAGAGCTAGCGAAACCAAATTTGGTTTCCAGACTCATGTGATATCACACTGCTACAAGTGTATTTCAGAATTTCGCCCCGCCCCCTTCCGCTCACACAAAGGACGAAAATCTGTGGCAGGCACATTTTTAAAGATACGATAAAACTAAAAACGCATTATCGTAGAGAATGCCCATATCTACTAGACTGCCAAATTTGAATCAGATCGGATCATAATTATAGCCAGAAAAAACAAATTAATTTTCAGTTGCTTCCTCTGCCGTCTCCTGCCAACGACCATGCAACTCATTTTCCTTCACGCTCGCAAACTCTGCCGCGTTCAGTGCGCGAGCAACCCCTAGCGGAGGAGATGTAGAATCTAAATGGTACATGTACAATCTACATGTTAGATGTAGAATATACATAATATATGTAGATGTAGATAACAGATGTAGCAAAAAAATGTAAAATGTTAAATTTTTTTTTCTAAAAAATCATGCTCAAAAATGTAAATACTGACTGAGTACGGGTATAAGTAGAGTCGCGTCTTTTTTAAAGAATTTTTTAAAATCTGGTATTTTTTTTGTTTGTTTTTTTTTCAGAGGTAGTGCTTCTGTTTTTCACATAACTTTAGTATCGTATATCTGGTTGCATAGAACTTTGCAGTTCTAAAAAACTGATAAACGCAGCTATAAATTCGACCCAGACCTTTTGTATCTGCAGCTTAACGCCTGAAAGATATTAAGCTTTCAAATTCAAATTTTGACTTTAAAAACTCTGGAAAAGTCGAAAAAAAATAATTCTTTGCCAACATTTTTGGTTTTAGATAAACGCATTAATTGGGCGTCGTTTGAGGTATTGCTCATTAGAATCTATGGATAAACGGTCAATTTGCAGCCGTTTGACCAAAACAACTCATAAATAATTTTACATGAAATTAGTGCTTATTTTTCACATAACTTAAGCATCTTACATCTGGTTGCATAGAACCAGAACCAGAGCCAATTTCCAATTGGCAGTTGGGCCCGCAACCTTCCAAAAAGTTTTAAAGTCAAAATGTTGGAAAAATACCGCAAAAAATTATGAAATTTAAATTTGAAAGGTTCCAGGCGTTAAGCTGCAGATACAAAGTGTCTGGGTACGATTTATAGTTGCATTGGGCAGCTTTTCAGAACTGCAAAGTTCTATGCAACCAGATGTAAGATTCTTAAGTTATGTGCAAAAAAGCACTAATTTCATGTAAAATTGTTTTTGAGTTGTTTTGGTCAAACGGCTGCAAATTGACCTTTATCCATAGATTCTAATGAGCAATACCTCAAACGACGCCCAATTGTGCGTATATCTAAAACCAAAAATGTTGGCCAAGAATTATTTTTTTTTCGACTTTTCCCGAGTTTTTAAAGTCAAAATTTCGAAAAAAAATACCGCAAAAAATGATGAAATTTGAATTTGAAAGCTTAATGTCTTTCAGGCGTTTAGCTGCAGATACAAAGGGTCTGGGTCGGATTTATAGCCGCGTTTGTCAGTTTTTCAGAACTGCAAAGTTATATGCAACCAGATGTAAGATACTAAAGTTATGTGAAAAATAGAAGCACTACCTCTAAAAAAAACCAAGAAAAAAAATACAAGATTTTAAAAATTCTTAAAAAAAAAATGTCATTATAAAAAAAATAATAAAGTACTACAAAAATTTTTAAATCCCGAAATCTATCAGAAAAAGTCATTTTGGTTCACAGCCTAAATCAAAAGTTAAATTTTGTACAGTAGTGTTATCAAACCTCTTTTCTAATAAATGCAATGCTATATTATAGTTGCGGTCCGAGATTTCCAGCGAACGAACTGTCTCCAAGGCCGAATCACGCAGGCATGATCGCAGATGCTGGAACTTCTCAATATGGGATAGGTCTGGATGATTGTCGATGATGGTGGTGAACATCGAGTAAAAGTCCGTCCAATCTGCATATCCTCCGCTAAACCTTGCCAATTGTATAGGAGGAAGGGATGATCCTGTCCTACGGCCTGCAGTTGCATTTGCTCCCGCAAGCGTAGAATGCAGAGGCATGTATCCGCTAATCCTAGCAATTTCACGCATGACCGAAGCTTTGAGAGCACTGGCAATTGTTTCAAAGCTGTCGCACAGTCCACTATGTATTTCGGTGCAGTCCAATTCTTCAAGCTTGTTGTGCAATGTCTCAAATGACCCATTCAGCTTCTCGATCTGCTCCAGCTTTACCAGTTGTATGTAATAATCAAATACCGCAGCCTCATCTTCCCAAGCGGTAGCCAATCTTTTCACTTTCTCACATAGTTCCGTTGACTTAATTCTCAGAAAAGGCAGCTATTTGGTCGTTGGCACGTGGTCGATGGAAGTGGATCAGAGCGGCGAGCGAAACCAGACGAACAAACGGCAA